GGCTCAGGCCCTGGCTGGGGACAGCGTGAGGAGGATGGGCCTGTGGGGAGGGCCACCCCAAGGACGGGGCTGGTTTGGGGCAAACCTTACAGGACGGGCTTCTCCACCACTCCCAGGAGGGAACACTTGTCACCAAGAGGCGGTGGGCAAGAGTTCACGGGGGCCGCTCTGGGGGCAGGTACATCGGAGGCAGATGCACCTGCCCCACACATGAGGGCGCCATGCCTGAAGGGGGATACACCTGAGGAGTCACACCTGGAGGCCGCCGTGCCTGGGGGAGGGCACGTCTGGAGGCCAGCACTCTTACTGCAGGACTGCCCGGGGCGGGTGGGCCCTCCCCACAGTGGGGCGGTGTTGGGAGGGTGGCTTCGCTGCATCAGAGCCCGTCACCCGGGATCCCCAGTCAAGGCTGGCGAGCCCCGTCGCTGGCTGTGCCCTGCTTCCCGCACCCCGTCTCCTAGCCCGGAGGCCTCCGCCCTCCCGCAGGGAAGCTCTCGGGCACGGACCTTAGAAAAGCACACAGATTTATTGCATGTCAATCTCATGTATAAATTCATTGTAGCATCGGAAAGGTTACATTTGGTATACAGACCTATTCTACAGCCTTAACCTCAGAATCAGCTCTGCCCAGGCTTCACCTTAGAGAGATTCCTCTACGCAAGTACTTTTGTCTTTATCACAAGCATCAAAATGAAATCTGCAGAATCGCTCTCCCGAGGTCCCACACTCCACGTCCTCCCTCCCACCGCGATTGCCACTCTCATTAAGGTCCGCGTCTCCTTCGCGCTGGCAGCTCAGGACTCTTAGTCCTGAGGACAGAAACCCTACTCACATATTTAATAAGTGCATCTACGGAATTTTCCTTTCCATAAAGATTTCACGAACAGACACGGGAATGACTGCTAAACACGAGCCATGCACAGTTCACCGATGACAGAAGCCATTTACAATCAGGGGACATGGGACATACATCGGCCTCCTTCGCAATGGGTTTTTTTTTTTTTTAACATTATACGAAAACCAGACATTTACATTGGATTTCCTTTTCGACGCTATACAGTTCTAAAAGAAAACAAACAAACGGAACAAAACGAAACACCAACGAAACCAAATCTGTAAGTTAACAATGGCGAAAGCGCGCGGCGAGGCGCGTCTGGGCCTCTCGCTGGCCTGAAGTGACACGCGGGCAGCGAGGCTCAGCCGCCAACTTCTCGAGAAGGACGGGGACGATGCCGAATCCTCTGCCGGGAGCTTCGGAGCCGCTTTAAGGTTCGCAAGCGAATCGCACGTTCGGAAACTCGAGCTGCCTCTCCATCTAATGTTCGTTCTTTTTTTTTTTTTTTTCCAAAAGTGGTAACGCGAATCAGAGACAGGAAGGAAAAATCAGGAAACCCGGGGCGGACGGCGCAGAGGGATGTCCTCGGAACAGCGCGAGAATGTCCTAGTCACAGTATCACTCGTTGCTACAGAGACACAATGTCATGGCTTTTGATACCCGGCTGACCTCCACTGACCAGGAGCAGCTGTGTCCTCACGTCCCCAGCCGGGACGGGGCGAGGTGCCCGGCTCCCCGTCCGTCCCCCCGGGCGGCAGTGCAGGGGTGCGCTCTCCAGGGGCGCTGTCCCCTCTCCACTCCCGGGACAGCACAGTGAATACAGCTCAGTAGATTTCAGTCCCTTGGGCAGGGATGGGGACAGGGGCAGGGGCGCCACAATCCAGTGCTTCGAGGCTTTGAGGCTGACACACGTGACATGCATCACGCCAAGCGCTTAGCGAACGCTCACGGAGGAAGCAGCCAGGGCATAGCCGGCCTCGGCCCTGCGTGTCCGCGGCCAGGCTCCGGGGCTGCGGAGCTGCTGGCCAGTCAGCATCGGGCCGGCCGGCCGGCTGTGCCCTTGGCCTTGTGCAGGGAGGCCACGTGCTGGGTGGTCTCTCGGGCTCACCCATCCGCAGATCCACACTCCAGGGTGCCAGGCAGCCTGCAGGGGAGTGCACCCCTGGGGTCGAATCAGGGGTGGGGCCTCTGCGTCCAGCTCATGGAGGGCCTGGCTGGCCGAAGGCTCGCAGCCCGTGTGTCCTGCCTGATGGCCCCGGGGGACGACGACCGCGGGGGTGGGAGGGCACCTGAGTGGCAGCGAGAGTGTCAACCGTCTAAACGGGGGAAGCAGCTGAGGCTGGACCTAGGGGCGAACCCGGCACAGGGGGACCCCCTGGGTTGCCACCCGCGGACACAGAGGCCGCCGCCCTGTCAGGCTTGCTCTCGGAGGCTGGGGTCTCGGCTTCCTCTCCCAGGCCCAGCCTCTCCAGCCCCCAGGCATCTGCTAGCCCTTGGTGGCATCAGCAATAGAGACGCGGGCTCCGATGAGCCGGGCAGGTGCCGCAGCCTGGGGGCCGAGAACCGGGGAGGAAGGCCTGCTGGGGTCTGGGGCACGCTAAGCTTGGAGGCGATGTCCACGGATGAGCCCAGCACAGGACATAAGTGCTCTCTGTCAGGGGGTCCAAGGACAGACCCCTCCAAACCTGCTGGTGCTCGGGCCTGAGGAGCTGAATGTTCAGGAGAAACTGGGCTTGCTTTAATCGTCTTCAGGGGGACAAAAATATAGGCCTTAAAATGTGCAATTGGGGCTCTTGGGGCGGGGGGCGGAGGAAGAGGGAGAAGCAATAACACCCAGGGGGCCTGGCCGAAGGTGACAGGACGTGACAAGCAGCAGGGAGACCCGGGGGGACACAGCAAGCGCAGCCCTTACCCTCCCTGCAACGGCCGAGGGCAGACGCTTAGGTGTCCACCAGTCAAACGGCCTAATTGGAGTCACATCGCATAAGAGCAGATGCCTTTCTTCAGCAGAAGAAATCGTGTAATTTGGGTTTATAGAAACGGGGTGTTTGTATCTGGGGGGGATTTTTCGGAGGGATCCTATCGAGACCAAGGAGGCTGTGCCCGGCGGGGCTGGCCGACGCTTGTGCAGAGGGGCCAGCGGCTGTGCTGGCCAGTCCTTCTGGACGAGGCCACGGCCAGCTCTCCCTGGCGGGTGACTTTCCAGCCCGCACACGTGTGTAAGTGGCCTCAGCACGTGCCAGGCTGGGTCTCAGTCCCTCCACCTCGCGTGGACTTGAGAAAGAGGGCTTTGACGGGGGTCCGTGAGCTGGTGGCCTCCTCGGGGGCCTCCCCGCCGCGGGTCCCGGGGCGAAGCCGGACCCCCCGGTGCCGGTGGCCTGCGCCGTGGGGACGCAGCTGCTCGGAGAGGTCCGGCCGGCGAGGAGCCAGCACCGGGGACGCGACTCACGCAGACGGGGCCGACCCACGTCCGCTCGGATTTACACTTTTTTAAGGGCAACGTGGCGATTTTCCTCTCTTGTTGGGACACTATTACGCTTTTTTCTTCCAAATAATAAAAGAAATAAATAGAACACTTGCCTTAAATGCAATTGAAACTCAAATTTAACAAAACACATGATTGTCTGGAATACGGCAGCAGAGACAGCGGGGTTGGTGGGGGGTGC